CGTGGATAGTAAGTCAGTTGTAGGCCATTGTAGGCTTGCTGGGGTCAACGCCGCTTGGCGACCGAATCTAGCTAATGCTTCCGTTAAACCCTAAACCCTAAACCCTAAATCTGTTGGGGCATGCTGCTGCTCAGACATGTTTCTGCAGAACCCGATAGCCTAAGCTCAAAGGACCCTGAACCCTGCAACGCAAACCTGAACCCCCAAACCTGAGCCCTGCCTTCAACCCAAGATACTGCCCTAAATCCTATAAACTCTGTCTCTAAAGGGTCCATGTACCCAAACAGTACATACTCTGGCCATAAAGTAGTCCCAAATTAGGTACTTTAGGGCCAACGTATATTAATATGCTATGTGGGTACATGGACCCTTCGGGTAATACTTGGAGCAGGAGCTCCTGTGAGCCAGGGAGGGATCAGGGAGTTTTATCCGTGGTCCTTTCATTTTGTGGCTCCATGAACTACCTGGACGACCCCAACTGGCCCTTTATAGAGCCCTTTTGGTTCGGTTGAGGGTTTGGGGGTTGGGGGGTTGGGGTTTAGGGTGTGGGGTTTAGGGTTTAGTGTTTTGAGTTTAGGGTTTGGGGGTTTGGGTTAAGGGTTTCGGTTTAAGGTTTGGGGTTCAGGGGAAGCCCACATGTAACTCCAGTCAACAGACAAATACTCCTGCGTTCAAAACCGAACCTTGAGCGTGAACCTCATAAAACGCCATTGGCCGTCATGCCTAAATGTATGTTGTTTGCAAGTTTGCAAGAACCTGACATTCAAAGCTTTTTGTACACAGGAGCAGCTTTTTGGGATAGGCCTCGAATAGACGAGCCGACATACGACATGCTGAATTCGCATCTCTGGTCTGCAGGAGTTCAGACGAGACGTAGACAGGTCGCAATCTCAGTGTGGGTGGGCTTGGCACAAGGATTTTGACTCCCAATGATCAGTGGTTTGGGTTTGCATTCAGGAATGTTTTTGAGCAGGTACCGTGTCGCAACTGAGGATTGTCCCTGCAGTGCTTTGCTCTGTTACCGTAAATCCTCACACCCTACACCCCTTATCCCTACTACATCCCTAAAGCCCTAGACCCTTGCATTGTAAATGAACGACATCATGCTCTTGTTTAGGGTTTAGGGGTTCTGGTACTTTCGTAGATCTACTGTGCCAGAGTATCAGTGACCGCTGTGCAGGTTACATGATTGGCATTCTTCACATGCGTGGTTGATCAGATACATCTGCGACCAGCTCAACTGATGATGAGCTTGCATGTCTGCGTGCGTGTGGATTGCTCGGGTCTTGGATGCGTGCGTGCAATTAAATGTAATCATACTTACCTACCGAACTACCAACCTACTTACCGACCGACCTACCGACCGACGGACCGACCGACCGACCTACTTACCTACCTACCTATCATAGATGTGCACTTGTATGAATGTGGTGCGTGCCTGTGCACCAAGCTGTCTACAGGTAGATAGAGAGGTATGCAGGACATAGGCAGGAAGAGGGACGCAACTATTCGCAACTATACAGTACATGTTTTCCTACCTGATTATTTATTCATTTACGAATTTACTTATTCATTCGTCTATTTACTTATACTCACTCCTACTTCTGTATTTATCAATGAAACATGACAAGCACGCAAGCAGTGTTGATCGCCCAGGATGATTGATGACTCCATCGATCACTGGCGGTCCCGGTTGTGCCCCGGTTCATGGTCCATACGTCAAGGACTTCTTGAAGGTTTAGAGTATGATAATGGCGTTGGGGGACACTAGAAATATACATAGGAGTCTGCTTGTAAAATAGGGCTGTCTCCTTTTGGCATGCCGTGAGTTCGGCAGCTTCAGTGCGCAATCCTCCGGCGCACAAATCGAGGTAGGAGCAACTCCAGCTCGAACCAGATTGCAAGACGTCGTGCCTTTGTATGATAAATTGCAGCAATGTAGGGGCCTTAAGCTTAATACTTGGACTCCTTTTTTTTTTGAGGGGTGGGGGGTGGGGTCCTTATTATAACTATAGTAGAATATCCCCCCCAAACCGCATTATAATTGTTCGGGCCCCTGTTTTATGCCTACCTAGCTTGCCATCATGTGATGGCCTTAAGGTTGAGGCTCTATCCACCCGAACCATTGAGGCGGTCTTTTGACGAAAGCATGGGCATGCCCTAAACCCTACGACTTCCTAAACCCTGAAAGGGATTGGTTTGGCACGACTTCGCGCGTTTCCGATTATCCTGTCTAGGTATATCTGCGTGTTGAGGCTTAGGAGTTTAGGCTCAGGGCTTGAAGGGTTTAGGGTTTAGGGTTTAGGGCCTTTTAGGGGTCAGGGTGCAGGGTTTGGGGTTGAGGGATTGTCGGTCTTGCTCCAGGTACGACTCCTATCAGTATCACTTCGTGGGCGTCCACTAGGACGCCGGAGCTGCGCAGATGCTGTCAAAAGTTCTAAGGTTCTAGAGGCACCTACAGTACCTGAACGAAGTTTACAGTTTGCCCTGTCTAGAGGGGTGCCGTATTTAGGATTCCGGAGTTAGATTATCCAACAGCATTCAACACGAAGCTTTCGCTAATGATCCCTGTCAAGTCCGATTGATTCTACTACGCAGTCACGATTTAGAAGTCCGACGCCCGCGCCTCCACATCATGGACATCTCCAAAGGGGGCCAGAGATACTCTCCTCTAAGCTAAAGATATATGACACCCTAAGCCTAAACCTTTCTGACCAAGGCTTGTAATTACCCCATAACCCTAAACCCTAAACCCCAAACGCTAAACCCTAAACCCTAAACCCTAAACCCCAAACCGTAAACCCTAAACCGTAAACCCTAAACCCTAAACCCCAAACCCTAAACCCTAAGCCCAAACCG